ATAACATTTCTGTGACTCCGAGTTTCTCGCTTACGCGATCATCAGAGAGATTTTGATCTTATTGATTAGTTCAACCTTCATATATACCACGCTCTGCGAACGCACCGAGCGCTATACGGCAAAGATAGACTATAATCAAGATATATATATATTTGTTCTCTCATCAAAATCGCTCAACTGAGCTTCAACCATCATTCTTTTACCATTTCGTAGAGTCATAAATGTTTCTTTTTTGCCAGCGATTGGTCCGGGGAATATTTCATATGTGGCTTGTTTTATTTCAGTACTTCATATATTTGCAAAAGAGACACGAGCTTTAATGCAAAGCAATTGAGGCAGGGGGGGCTCATTTAAACGCTAGATGCAAACTTTATGAGCAGTTTGTCTGTTTACCTCCTAAAACTGCATCAATTACCAGCTTAGAATTTCGAAATCAATGAAACTCTTATTTGTCCATCAAATGACGAAGTAAGTTGAAGTTTTGTTACTCACGTTTATTTTCCTGAAAGTTCAGGGCACATTGCCCGAGAGAAAGAAAAATTTCACTTGATGTGCAAATAAAACCCTTTTTCGCGGTGCAATCGTTCCTTCCCATTTGCAGTGGTGATTTCGATCACTCTGATTAAAACCTCCGCTATCAACATTGATTGGAGGGATGTGGACTGACTCGATCACATAAAATACACAAGATCATTCCATATGGAATCAAGAACTTAAGTCAAACCAAAGCACTGACAGGATTTGGAAACCAAACCCTTATTGGTACTTTCTGTGAACATCAGTAAAAAATAGATGAGCTCCAAGCCACTGGAATACTGAATTGAAAGAGTTAGTTAGACCCCATTCAAACTACTATTTCTTTCCTTGGACAGAAACAGTACCTAAAAAAATACTATTTGAGACAGGTATGGGGAAGGTAAACTTAGCTGCAGTAGGTTAAGAATACTTTTAAGATCTTTATTCACACATGCTTCGACGTTTTGGCAGAATAAAAACTGTATTGTGATCCACTATTTCTCAAGTGAGATAGATTATTGACGTACCAAATTTACCTTCACAACAACAATATTTCATGCGGTAAAGTAGCGATTGTCGTCGGACCGTGCGAGTTTTACGATGGCCGGAGGTTGCAGGATAAGGTGCTTTACCAATATAAATCTTATTAGCATGACAAGACGATCCCGAAAAATGATGATTGAATGTCACAGACGTTAAATACAGCACGATAATAGAATAATAAACACAATAGTTGCTAATAGAATTAGAAAGAAAGGACTGGTAAACTTTAAGTTCCGTCGATGGATGGGGACTGGTAATCAACTCTCAGACCTCCCGATTTTGCGGTAAGATACTCTACCATTGAACTTAAAAAAACTGATCAACAAAGGCATGATTTAGATGCAATAAGCTTAAGTGTCCTCTCTACAACTAAGATCAGTACTGTCCTATTTATTTGCTCGTTCACTTTCAATTTGTAGCCAGAAAAGCCTTGCCACGATCAAGAACGAAAAAATAACTCACATATCTTGCCAAACCATCAGAGACTCTAGAACTTACTCTCTC